TAAAATTAAAAAAACAAAAATGGCTATCGATATTTTTTAATAAATAGTTTAATATAAAGATAATAAACATTTTTAGAGAATATCAACACTCCAAAAAATTCCTAACAATGTTAATTTTTTATTTTCATCGGAAATAAGAAAACACTTTTAATTCGATATTTTCCAATGTAAAATTTTAAGGGCTATAAAATGATATATAATTTGTAACTCTATCTTAAGTATTTAAAAAAAGAAAAAATTTAATGAAATCACGCATTCCGCGATTTTCTACTTTGAAAGCATATATCTTTGGATCTGGTTGAGCTAGCACTAAAATTTTGAATTTTCTAAAATATACACAATAGATAACTATCATGCCAAATTTCGTTAATGTTAAAGATAGTCATCCGAAAATCTCGTTTTTTTTGGTCGATTTGACGTGGAAGGACCCATATCCAATTTATGTTGGTATGAATTATTAAATTGTAATATTTAATATATAAAATTATAATATATTAGATTTTTTAAAATAAATATGAGAGCCTCTAGATTTTCTGGCAATAAGCTTCTACGATGTGGACTATCTATATTTCCTACCTTACTGAAAGCAGACTTAGATGGGACACTTCTTTCAGGAGGCGCCAAAAATTTACATGCAAGTTTTGATAAAGTTGGATACTTTTCAGCATTAATTCTCCAATTTTCAAGTGAATCCACAGGGGATATAATATCAATATCAATGTTATTCGAATTAACTAAATAAAGAACACAAACATCTTAGCATTAAAAAAATAGTGGGTTTCCTACAAACCCAATCCTTTGTTAAATTTGAAAATAATCAGATATCGCCCAAACAAATGGGTCAATCATAACCCAACCAAGCAAACTTGATTAAATATGAAAAATATGTTATTATACTTTCTAGATATAAAGATTCTTTTAAATATTACTTGATTTCTATCAAGTATGGCAGATCATCATCTATATTACTATCGATTTCAATTATTTTATTTGTTACTAATTTCTCTTTGAATTTCAATTTATAAGCATCCCTTAAATTTAATTTCCATTTTTTAATGTTATGTGGAACATTTTTCATTGTCATTACATAAGTTAACAATAAAATCACCTGGCGTATCTTTATTAGGAGTTGGAAGTTGAACATGATTATCACTTTTAATAAAAGGCTCACATGCAGTCCTGAGCTTTTCAATATATGAAATGTCTTTTGGTAAAAGGAAATCCTTATAACGAGGATCAAGTAATGTTACGATAAGATAGTTGTCATTATTATAAATAAAAAACCGAGTTGTTAATTGATTAATGGTATCCTTCGTGGTCTGCACACCTCCATCTGTGTCCTCATAATCGTTAATTCACTTTTCAGAATTTCAACAAAGGGTATAACATTGCTAATTGAACATGATTCCGTACTATTTTGTTACCCTCTGAATTAGTTCCAGAACATCAATTACCTTTTCTGTTAATTCCTTTTCGTATAATGAGAGATTTCCCAAATATTAGTTCCAGAACATCAATTACCTTTTCTGTTAATTCCTTTTCGTATAATGAGAGATTTCCCAAATTAGGATTATCGATAATGAATAGCGCTGTACCGCCCTTTTTTGTTCTATCAATCGTTTTAGCATGTTATAGGTAAAATCCCAACGGGTCGGCTCGTCCTGGATTAATTTGTGCCTAGTTAGACTTAATCGAATTTGGATTTCTTTTAGACTAAATTTTGTGAAATAGAAGAATGTTTAAAGTGGCCTACTATTTTTCTAATCCATAATAGATCTCAGCGATAAAATTGCTGCCTTTGTAAACAAATGCAACTACAGTGTTGTGATGATTTAATGAAACATATTGTCGATTAAATTAAAACTCATCCATATAAAATTATTTTGTTTGCAAAAATAATTAAAATAAAAAGGAGTAATAAAAGAATTCTATAATGCTTTGTCTATATTTTAATTATTTTTGCAAAGAAAATAATTTTATACGGATGGGTTTTAATTTAATCGTCAATATGTTTGATTAAATAATCACAACACTGTATGTGAAAACAGGAAACGCTTTGAAATTTCCCGTTTTTCATGGCCAAAACTATATTGATTGCATTATCTCTTATGATTTGGTATATTTTTTTTTATACACCAATAATTAATCATTTCATCTAAAATTTGAGCAATATTTATTGCTCTATGTGACTCATTAAATGTTTTAACATTTAAAACTATTAATTTGTTTAAAGTTTTGTTTTATATAGTGACATGTTTATGAGATATGAGAATCGCCACCTGAATTTCTAGTCCATACACTAGGATAAAGGAAAAATAAGAATCTTAAACCAAAATTTCTTTACGAATTTTTTAGGAGAGTTTTTCATATATATCCGGAATAACTCCTTGCGAAAAATACTTTCTATTGGGAATTTTATAATTTATATATAAATGATATAAATGCCTTTTAAAGCCGACATCTTCCAAGGGTTATCATTTCCCCTATAAATTTAGAAATAATTATGGATTTAAGATCAGAAATTTTCTGGGTTCTTTTTTTAAAATTTGATTTGTTTTTTCTATATTTCTCGTTCTTTTTGTATTAGCTCTTCGAATGCCGTTTGATGGAATTGCTTTATATGTTTACGGATATTGGTAGTATTAAATAAATTTTTCATTATTCCTTTCCGTGTAATTAGAATTCCACAGATAACACATTTTGCAAAATTATCGTCTTTTGTAAAATATTTCCATAATTCAGATACCATATTTAAAAAAATTCTTTTATTTAAAGTATAAATAATAAAATTGGTGTTATTATTTAAAAAGATTTAAAATAAATAAAACCTTGGGTATTCCTTTTTATTTTTATAAAAAAACTTTTAAAATACTAAAAATCTATTTTAATAATAAATAAAATTTAGGGGGTGTTGTGCATTTGCATTGTTTAAAAAAATTATTTAGATAATATTAAATGTAAAATAAATAGTGCTGTAAACATTTCTAAAAAAATTCGAACGCGTTCACGTTCAAGTTCACTTACAAAAAAAAGGAACGCGTTCACATTCGTTCAAAATTTTATGATAAATTTTTTTTTAAATTTAATTTAATATAAATAAATGTCTTATATTTTTTAACCAATATATTAGATTAGCCATGTTAAAAAATAATATAGTTTTATTTTGATAATATAATTAAAATACAATATAATATAATATAGCGAATAAAAAGATAAATTTATTTATAAAATTTTTCTTTTTTTTTAATAACAATTTTTCAAAATTTTCATCTGATATTCAGGAACACTTGGCAGTTAATACGGCATTAGATACTAAAAACGCGCTCTACCGGGGCAGATGAGGGGATTGCGGTATTATACTTATTAAACAACTCTTTTAACATGGGGAATTTATTAAAAACATATATTGTTTTATCCTTTGCTTCAAAAAATTGAGATAAGTTATCCTCCTCCCATCCATCCTTTACTTACTAGTCAAAAAAAAGATATCTCGAAATTAACAGTTCTTGCTTTCAATGCATTTTTTCAATAACGCTATAAGTTTATTTTTTATAAGTTCGTTCTGTGGAAGTTTTATCCATGGCCATTGAAGCTTGACTATTGGATGTATAATTGCAGAAAGAACATATTGATCTTCATATATATGTTCAAATCTTTAAAAAAATAAAATATATATGTAATTAATTTGATAATGATAGGTTTAATACTTTTTATTAATTCCATTGAATAATGCGTCTATCAATAGTTGACCATAATTTAGGCCATTAATTTTTTTTAATTTTTAAATAACTATCGTTATTGTTGGGATCAAATAGCTTAAATGCATTTTTTCTTCAAATTTAATGTTTTACTTATTTATATATAAAGTAAAATAATTAATACAAATGTCGTTTTAAATTGGAACTAGAAGATTTTGAAACTGATATAATACTTTTTGGCATATTTTACATTTGGGTAAGTATTGAATTAATTTCTTCAATATAGGATGTTACTCCAAAATATTTATCTTATTTGAGGCATGGTAATGTTAATTCATCTGATTTTGAATTTTCAGAATCAGATAATGATGATGAAATAATAATATCCATTCTTATGCTATTCTATTAAATTAAAGTATAAACAGTATCAAATTAATAAACTATAATAATGGTGGGTTAAAAAAAATTGAAATGTGAAAAGGAAAAACAGTTGATTATAAAATATAAGACATTTTTCTTAAAAAATTCGGATTAATATTAAATTTTTCAAATAAATAAATATAAAAAATGTTTTTAAAATTGAACGAACGTTAAATTCGAACGTTTTTGTCATAAAAAAGGAACGCGTTCATGTTCAAAGTTCGTCAAAAATAAAAGGAACATCGTTTACCATTTTTTTCAAAAAAACGCTTCATTCACGAACGCGTTCATTACAACACTAAAAATAAATATACATAACATATATAACAAAAAAAAGAAAAGTAAAGTAAAATGATCGGATCGGTTTTTACAGGTATCGGTCCGATCCGATATTTTTGGAAAACGTTAAATATCGGTGCCGATACGATATTTAATATCGGCACAGTTATAGTAAAAATCATAAAAATTTCGCAAAAACAAAGAAAAATAAAATGAATGTTTGTGAACTTTACTCGATAAAAATTAAAAATAAATAAACATAGCAAATATAAATTATCAAAAATAAATTTTATTAGCAAATACAATTTATCGAATAAAATACTAATGTTCTACTGAAAGATTCTTATTAATTTTCTTTTTTAGATAATTTAATTTAATAATATTAATTATTTCAAGTTTTTATAATAGTTTTTTTGAAAAACTTTTTTTTACAAATATAATTTTTAATTTATACATATTTTTATTAATACATTTTGAAATTATGCAATCACAACAGTATTTTTTTTAAAATTTGCTTATTAAATATAATAATTAATTTGGATAATATTAAAATCAAATTCCTATGATTTTAAATGTTAATTTACAATATTTAATCTTAAATAGGTATCTATATGGTAAGAGTTGTTGTCCAAGGCATTGGCCCTGGTAGAATGGCTTCTCTAAAAGGCTTACAAATGGGAGGATTAAAAATTGTTTCTATTACTGACAATACGCCACTCCCATTTAATGGACTTAGACCCAGAAAACAAAGAAAAATTTGAGGCAGCCATTCTAATTTATTTTTTTGTATAATATATAAAAATACATGTATTTATTAAAGAATATTAATCAATATATATTTTAAATAAAGTGTATGTAACTTAATTCATGTTAAATCATTAAAATATTAGCAAGATAACTTTAATAAGAAAACATTATTTTAGATATCGAATCTAAAATCTTATAAAAAGAATGACCTTTCTATGGCATATGATGTTATTTTAATTTTTTATTTATTTTTATAATAAACTATTTATGTCTTAAGTTTTTCTGGAATAAGTTATCCCGAATTCCCACGAGACTCCAAATCCTCACATTCTGAATAAATTTACCTTACGGCATGCGATGTATCATTTTATTAAGTAATGTAGATAAAAAGTAGCATTATATATTATATAAGATATAACAATTCACAAATTATCTTTGCAAAATATGAAATTGTTCATTTCCTATTCAAGTGCTACAATATTTTTAATTCAGGAATTCTAGTTCATTTCTAGAAAATCTTTCTTTAGTGGTATTTTAAAGTTCGGCTTGTATAAATAATCAATTATGGGTACGGGCGCTATCTATTTATATTAGATAATTCTCATTTAAAAATCCGGAATATATTTATAAAGTATATAAATGTTGTTCATATTAAAATTTTTAAGATAATCTGCACTTTTATTTTACCCTAAAATCTCTAGCTTGAAATACATAAACTTGAACAATATTTTAAATTAATAAATAATAAAACTTGTAATAATAAATATTCTTAAATTTAAATTTTAACAAAACCTTGGCTTAAAAATAATTATTGTTACAGTTGAAGCGAATCACAATGTAAAGATAATTATTAATATACCCAAAAATTAAACTAACAAAGTTCTTATCTTATTAAACTTACAAAGTTCTTAACTCTCTAATAAAGTTATCTTAATCTCTTAATTACAAGGGCTTCTTCAACTTATGAATGGAATGACAAAAGAATATGTTTTCATTAATTTTATTTCTTTATTAATTTAATCCAAAAGTAAGATTCATATAATATTTTTAAAAAGAATAATCAAATTTTGCAATTGTTTAAAAAAAATATAATTCAAAAAAGCGTTTTTATTTAAAGATATAATTTTTATTTTTAAAAATATAATTTCAAAAAGTGATTCCTAAAAAATAATTTAAGTGATTCCTAAAAAATAATTTAAGTGATTCCTAAAAAATAATTTTTTGTAATGAAAATTATTCAACAAAACAAATGATTGGCGTTTAATTTCTTAATAATCAAATTTTCTTTCTTTTCTACTAGTGTTGTTAAAGTAACTAGTTACATTTTTGCTAAAAAATAACTAACTAGTTATATTTTAAAAATTGTAACTGTAACTAGTTATATTTTTTGAAATGTAACTGCCAAAAGTAACTAGTTACTTTAAAAAATATATATGTATAAATCTAAATATTACAGTAATTAATTTTATTTTTAATGTTTTTTTAAAAATAATATAACTATTTATTAAAATTATAATACAATATCTATATGTAAAAATATATAATTAAAAGAAGAGAAATAAAATAAAATAATGTATTTAGGTTTGATCGGCGAGGTTTAATGACTAATGTATAGATATACATTTGGATCGACAAATTTTGATTGATATTCTTTGTAGGTCGAAGCCTTTTTTGGATCACCTGTGATTAAACGTAACCTTGCCCTATTGTTTAGAATAATTTTAGGACTTGGGGTCCAAATGATCCACAGGTGTCTGAGATTACCGGAACAAACAAAAGATTATTAAGGCGACTATATTTATTTGTTTTTGTATTTTCAGCTTTCATGATGGAGTTGAAATAAAAATATCTGGCAAAACGATCTACACATGAATAATTCCAAGCGAGGGTATACCGTGGTTCAAGGGACTAGCGTCATTCCATCAGGGCTGAAGCCAAAGGGTTCCAGTGTAGAAGGAAATTTAAAGATTCTATTGATGATCGAATTGATGGCATAGTGCCTGGATAATTTGTCTTCTGAAAAACGACAGTATTGGGGGGGGGTCTAAGGCTATCGATTAGAGGTCTGCATTGGAAGGGGTTTCGGCCCGCCCGCCCATCTAGATGGGCGGGTAAAAAAATTTTCGAAAATGGGCAGGCGGGCGGGCTGGTTAAAAAAATTAGAAACTATGGGCGGGCGGGTTAAGGAAATTTAAAATTTTTATTCAAAAACAAACAAAAAAATAATTGTTTAAATGATCTATAACAATATTTCTTTTTTTATTGTACCAATCGTTTTTTTTAAGTGAAGAACATTTACCTAACTATATTATGTAATAAACACAACAATAAAACTTTTTTCTTAGAATAAATAAGTATTTTTGTCTATTTAAAATTTCCTTTTATGGGAATGTAATAAAACTTTTCTAGTGCTTCTTCCGAACGCGGATTTAGCATTGCTGGAAGATTTTTAGAACAAAGAAGAACGTGTTTGAATCCCGAAAATGTCGATTCATTATTATTTTTGCATTATAATTACATATAATATTAATTTTTATTTTTTTGATATATATTCAATTTGATCAAATAAATTGTCCATAATTTACATTGATTATTTTTATACTTATATTAATTTCCTAAATTATAAACTTTTTGTAGAGGTTTAATGCTGAAATATTTTTATTAGATGCTTAAAAAAATGAAAGAATGACCATAATTAAATTTTATAAGTGGGCTTGGGTTAAAAATTTTTTATAAATAATGGGCGGGCGGTTAAAAAACTTTAGACTAATGGGCGGGCGGGTAAGGAATTTAGACATTATTTTTTTTAAACTATGGGTGGGCTGAGCGGGCGGGTTAAATTTTTTAAAACATTGGTAGGGCGGGCTTTGGCCTCTACTATCGATATGAGTTTCACAAGGGACCCATGATGTCGGCGTTACGATTTCACAAAACGAAGACCTATAGCTATTCTAAGTTCTTCGTTGTTTAATAAATAAGCCTAAATTAGAACTAGGTATAGTTTAACCATTCGTAGTCAAGGTGACATATGACTGAGGCTGGAATTATTTGATCCAGCAAAAGAGTCGTAGTTGTCATTCTGTATACTCGGGGTTTATAGTTTCTAACCATTCGTAGCTAAGGCAACATATGACTGAGGCTGGAATTATTTGATCAAGCAAAAAAGTCGTATTGTTGTCATTCTGTATATTCGGGGTTGGGTTTAAGGGGAGAAAGAGCAATGCATGCAAATTTAGCAACTGAGGATAAAAAGGCTGAAATGCTTAAGGATATGGGGAATGGATACCTATACCACCTGGTGGAAGGGCAGCTTGCATACTGAATAGTGAAAAGAATTTAATATTTTAAAATAGATTCAAGAGTATTTTTATTATGAACCTCAAGGTCTAATAATATTTCAAGGGATATGAAAATTGTTGATGAACGAAAGGCATGTAAAATTTTAGAAATGAATAAAAAATATTTAAATTAAATAAAAAGCCTGATGAGCAGGTAAATGTTTTAAAATATTTACGTTCTATTGAATTTGACAAGAAATTCATCTCAAATAAAATATAGCACAACATCTCCAATGGGTGAACCTAGGTGGATAAAGCTAATTTTGTCCACTACAATAAAAATTAAATTAAAATTTTGTTTAAATGTCAGATTGTGTTCACAATTGATATGCAACAATAATATAATTTCCCTTCCAAATATTTTTTTCTTCATAAATTGTAACATTGCTGGGTTTCATAATTTTGCAACCAAATTCAATTAATAAACCTATTTTTTAATATTATATTTCTTTACCTATTTAGCAGAATATATTCCATATTTTTTGCCCTCAAGTTGCTGGTAATATTTATGGAATTTCATATAAATGTATTTTTTTTTAAAATTTACTAAATTAGATCATAGAACTTAGTATAAGGAACGAAAAAGACTTAGATTATTTTGGAATTAAATAATTTTTGAATAAACTAAATTAGTAATCATTATTTACTAATAAGAAAAATTTTCAGGCCTGGCCCGGATTTAAAAAAAATTTATTATATTTATTTTTGAATTTTAGAGCTAATAATGGCGATTTCAAATATTTGGTTTTGAAATATATGGCCTGGCCCGGATATTTAAAAAAAAAATCAGGCCCGGCCTGGGTATATTTAAAAAAAAATTAAAATACGTCCCCGGCCTGTGTATCCAGGCCGGGCCTGCAGGTCTCTAATAAATATATTCTATTTTCCGATATTTTTCGGTTTAATTATTTTGTTATATAGATGAATTTTATATTTTTTCAAATAAATGATTATAATTATTATATCCTAATTTTTTTATATTAAGTAAACGTGTTCAGTAAATAAATAATGCGTTTGAATTATGTATAAAGTAACTTATTATAAAACTATTTACTTTTGGAATATAACTGTAAAATGTAACTAGTAATTGTACCTAGTAATATATCAAAGTAACTTTTAACAACGAAAATGTATATTATTATTTATAAAATAAGCACAGCGATGACATGCCACCTCTATAGGGCCAGCGGAATTCACCCCAAGAAATAAAATTTATATAATATCTATTAATTATTTGAACGAGAAAAACATTGCAAAATATTTTTAAATAGTCCACCCGAGAGTGGTTTTCCTGATCACCTTTATTTTCATGGTGAAAAATATTGATATTATAAGAATAATGGCTATGGTATCATCATTCTGTCATCAACAAAGTCAGACTAAGAGTCAACTATCATATTATGTTCCGAAACTGTCGGGTAAACGGTGAATCTCCATTATCGTTGGCTTGATCACTAGTTTGAAAAGAAGCATCATACGTATATCGGACTGATAATGGGAATGCATTTTCTTTTTAACTATTGACGATTTATTTTCAGAATTACGGAAATTTCATGTTAACATTTTTGGAATTAAAATTGATTAAAGGTGATTAGGAGGGTATGGTATTATTATATCAGAACGACTTTTACTTTTTCCAATTTGATAAAAAAGATTATTTCATGGATTTTTAATGCTGATAATCCTTGTGTAAAAAAACTATCAATTATTTAATTACATAAGTCTGAGGCGTAAAAATTTTGTGAAATAAAAAAAAAATATAAATCCAATCTATTTAAAAAAAAAATAAAT